CCACCGCATTTGGTGTGATATGTTGAATCACACGAACTACAGATGATGATACGATGGTTTCGAGCAATGGTCCTAAAGCACTGTTGGCACTTTGGTTTATTGACGGTTGGTCCAGGGTTCTCGCTAACGTCTCCGCTTATTACCACGCGTATTAGTTGGAAAGTAGAATCTGAGTTCGCGTACCGGCTAATTCGTGCTCCATAATAGCCTACCACCTTGCTTAAACTTCCAACATGGCGCCAGCGGGTTGTAAGCCCGAAAGTAACACGGGTCTGTACAGCTTCACTGAAGTGTCGATATGATGTAAATTCTGACTCAGGCAAGGCTGTGTTAGTTGATTCATCGTCTGAAGGTAATTTCTTCGTGCTTCTGATAAGCAGCACGAGTAAAATAAGCTTAAAGAAGCAGCAAGCGAAGCCGTGGCCGTTCGCCATGACGCGCACAAACATTTACCCATTCCCTCGTCGGATGAGACTTGGAAAATCGTTACAATTTTTTTTTCGCTTAAGCTGACATTTTAAGGGAGAAAGACCCTTTTTTGGAAAGCATCTTTATGGCAAAACAAGAACTGATTACGCGTACATTAAGCTTAGTGTACAAGACTTCGCGACTGGTAAGAATTTCTCTTTTAATCAGTAACCTAAACAAAGAGTTTTTCTTTTTTCTCGGGAAAGTTATTTTATAACAGCAATAGAAAACTTTTTTCCTGTGTTTGCATAGCCTGATATAAACACTCGAGGGGTTGTGAGAATTCCTGACAGTTATACAAACCCGAGACGACGTCGAGGGTTTGCATAACTGTCTCGAATTCTCCCAACCCCTGGAGTGTTTATATCAGGTTATGCAAACACAGGAAAAAAAGCTTTCTGTTGCTTAAATATTGCTTTTTTTTAGAAAAATACTGTTACTTTGTCGTTTACAAGCAATTTATTTGTAAACGTTAAGTTTCACAGTGCATAAGGAAATGTACCGAATTTACACGAATTGGCGCCGCGGCGCTTATTAACTTTTTCTCCAAAAATGCGGCGCTTATTTGAGAGCGCAGCTTAATACCATAGTAATACCGCTTAGTAACGTACCGGTATTTACAGGAGTAAGCGCCGCGGCGCTATTTAACCTCCACCCCCCCAAATGCGGCGCTTATTTGAGGGCGGCGCCTACTCGAGTAATTACTGTAATTGGTAACTTGAGAGTTTATTACATTTAGGGCAAATTGTTATTACATTTAGGACAAAATGTTATTAAATTTAGGCCTTCTACATTTGTGCTAGTACTATTTACATATACGACGCCGCGAGCTCCAGTTAATGGAAACAGCTGCCCACCGCTATACTCCTACTTTTCCGGATGCCATGTTGGTGTCTTGCAACGTTGAATTTCCTAAATCAGCCGACTTGGGGAATCAGACGCATACGAAGAAAAAGGCGTCTGTGAAAACTCGTTACCATTAAATATCGTAATGACACAGTGCGTTGTGGCTACTATTTCTACAGCCGCTCCCAACCCTTAACTAAACAGAGTAATCAGTGAGACTGCGTTCGTCATGCGTCCATACTACAATAGAACCTACAGTTTTTATGAGCCGAACCTAATTCGAAATAAGGCCGACCTAAACTATTTAGACCGCCTGAATTGATTCAGACGCTGATCTTAATTCCAGCCATTCAAGAGGAGAAAAATGCTCATTTTGGTGAAAGTGTTTGCAAAATACGATATTTAACAATTAATGAATGAGGCTGAGTATCTTATGAAGAATCAAACACCCTCCGAGATCTTCTTAATTCTTCATATGATACGAAAGCCAAATTCAATAATTGTTTTATTATTCATTCAAAATAATTCCTAGTTTAAAAGCATGGCTAAAACATGCTTATCTCCATCGATCCATCGATGTTAAGTTCATCTTCGATAGTGCACGTTTCGGCAAATATTCTCCAAATAGCAGATGTCGCCCTTCGAGTTGTCTTCTTGCTATGTTTTTAGCTATTTTTTCGCCTAGTTCTTACTCTTGAAACGAGTGAAATGTCCGCCATTTTTCAACTTCACAACCAAAACAAAAATTCAACCTCGTCCCCAGGTCTTCTCGGTTAACGGTGCATTAACCTGCAAGAACGCTGCATTTTTGACGTCATTTCCTCGCTAAACACAAAATTTTTCCAAATTTGGTCATCAGTAACTAGTTATGGTAAATTAAACGTGTGCTTTTAGCCAATCAGAATCGGGGAAGTATTTTGAATGAATAATAATATAATTTATGCATTAGGTTCTGGAAACTTTCGGCGTCAGAATCAAAGCCGTTCCAAAGTCGCTGCAAAGGCGAAATTCCGGGCTAGGCGAAAAGAACGGCTGAGCCGTTCCAAATTGAAACAGGCGTTCGTAATTAATTCAGGCGCCGAACTTTTCATGTACTTAATTCAATGTATTAGGTCCGGCACATGAAAAGTTCGGTGTCTGAACCGGGCTCAAGTGGTTTGTACGGTGCCGGTAACTGTTGACTACGATTCAGTGGCGTTTGCTTTAAGTTAGTTAACCAGCTTTCTAAAGTGAGTCGTTGATAGTAGTCTGTAGAATACGTAATACATGTCGCAGAGTCCCAGTCGATTTGATGTTTCGTCTGTAAATGGTGTTTAGCAATGTGATTGTTGACCTCACCATTTCTCGTCGCTCTTTTGTGTTCGGTCAGTCACGTGCTAAGGTTTCTGCCGGTTTCACCCATGTAAGTAGCCTGGCAGTCGATGCATTTGATCTTGTATACTGCTCCCTGTCTGTCCTCCGGTTTGTCTTTGTCCTTGACATCAGTAAGTTGTAAGTAGTCGTCGTAAAGTGGTTATCGGTTTGTGTGCAACACGTATATTGTACGGTTGTAGTATACGTGCGATAGGTTCATAGGTGCCTCTGATGTACGTTGCTGTTGCTGTGAGTGTTCCGTCCAACAAAGTCCGTGTTGTAGTTGTTTTTACTAAATACGTTGTTAAGGTAGTCAGTCTTGTCTCGTAGGCTGTCAGGTGAGTCGCAAATTAGTTTCGTTTGCTTTTTTCTGGGACTAACCTCGCGTACATGCGTTCTGGTGTCAGATGCAGAGACAGATTCAGTTTACTGCAAACAGCAAACGTCATACCCAAGTCGACAATTTTTCATACTAGGAAATCAGGAGATAAAACCTGTGCAAAATAACTCTTGGGCATGATTTTTGTGCAGATATAAAGAACAAAAAACCACAAGTGAAAACAATCCTGGTCACGTGATACAAATTGCGGTAACAGTAATCACAAATCTCTCTATTGACTCATAATTTGACCGCTGCAGGGTTAGGTGACTTCTGAGTTGCCCTAATTTCCAGTAAGTCTCTATTTCAAAGCGAGGCGAAGCCATTGCCGTTGAAATGATTTTGTTATTTCCATGCAAATAAAACTCATTTTCACAAAAAAGGTTTTGCACTTAGCCTCGTTTTGAATTTTTTTTAGTGGGAGCTGGATTTTTAGAAAATAGACTGACAGCTCAATATCTCAGATAAGTACAGTTTTTGTAGTTGTAAAAAAGTATACCTTACACGTGCAACCCTTTAGTGCTTTCTTTCTTTAGTGTTTTCTAGTTACATATCAGTTGTGTAGCTGTGGGATTGGTGGCACGTGACTGGTTTAATTTCCTCGGGTCAGCCGCCAAAAGCACTCCCGCACTTTGTTTTCGCCAGCTACCCAGGGTTCGAAAGAAGAAACCTTAACTGGTCTCTTCATTTCGCCGCTTTGCGGAACAATTCCGTCCTCGTTTGCCAAATTCCCCGCTGCCCGATCACCCAAAATAGTTAAATGCCCTGGGTATGCCCCGGGGGAGGTTGAAGTTTCGAACTGATCGGCGGAATCGCAAATCATCGAGAGACACAAGATACATTTTCTTTTCTTCCTTGCGTAACTCATGAGCAATCGGAGTGCAGGAGAGCTTTTCAGCGGTGTGCGCGGCTGAAGCACAGTTCAACCTCGTGTCCAGGACTTTTCCCTTAAAGAATGGGAGGCAAAAGCCCTGGGGACGAGGCTGGAAGCAGTCGCCTGTGATAAATTGTGTGTTTTCATATGACGTCATGGCGGCCATATGCATTCCATTCTTCTGAATATTTTGCAACAGGATTATGGAGTCGTCGGAACTGCTTTAAATTGGTTCGACTCATTTCTGTCTGGTCGCAAACAACGTATACTTGTCGGTGATAAGACTTCTGACGACTTCAATCTGAACTGTGGAGTCCCCAGGGCGGTTGTATGGGGCCTATTTTATTTACTCTCTACGTCTCCTGCCTCTTTAACATTACTTCTCAGCACCTTCCTTCCGTCTATGGTTATGCTGATGACACCCAGATTTACCTCTCCTTCTGACCTTGTTCTATCCATTCGGAGATTAACGCTGTCTCTGTGATTGAAAAGTTCATCGCTGATGTTTGCTCTTGGTTTATTGGAAATCGCTCAATGATCAATGACGCGAAAACTGACTTTCTAATTATTGGCACCCGTCAATAACTTGAAAAAACATCTATTGAATCTATTATCATTGGTGACACCGTCATCTAGAAAGCGTCCGGAACCTTGGGCCCTGGTTCGACGCTCATATGCCAATGAATGTTCACATAGGCAAGATTTGTAGCAAGGCTTTTTGCGGACTATACAATATAAGACAGATCAGAAAATTCCTTACCATGCAATCCACTAAGACACTGATCCATGCCTTTGTATCTTCGTACCTTGATTACTGTAACGCACTTCTATTCAGGGTCTACCTAAATATCAACTTGATCGTTTACAGAAAGTTCAGAATGCCGCGGCTAGAGTGACTTTTCGGATTGCGAAATTTGATCATATCACACCCGCTCTTATCGACTTACATTGGCTTCCAGTAACGTTTAGAGTTCAGTTCAAATTGCTCCTTTTTGTTTACAAGTCACTACACAACCGAAGTCCATCCTACATTGAAGATCTTTTATCCCTGAAACCAGCTGCTAATTATGCTCTTTGTTCGTCTGCACAATCTCTTCTGTTCGTTCCAAAAGTCAACTGCTCTACACTTGGGGATCGGGCCTTTGCTCATGATGCACCTGTTTTATGGAACTCGCTGCCATTAACTATAAGAACAAGTATCAGCCTCGCCATTTTTAAAAAGCAACTAAAAACATTTCTTTTTAAGAAAGCTTTTAATTTGTTGGAATAGTTCTAATGTTTAATTTTAATTTAGTTTGGAATTTTCGAATTTTTTTGGATTTTACCATAGCATAACATATTATTGTTATTATTATAGCTTTAAGGGATTTTTAAATTTTTTATTTATTATTTATTCATTAATTTTAACTTAATGTAAAGCGCTTTTGAATAGTCTTCTATAGTTTTAGCACTATACAAATTCATTATCATTATCATTTGCATAGATGCTGGCCACGTGAGTGAAAACACAGAATAGGCCATTTCCGAGTTCCTCCGGGCCTCTGTATCAAAACGAGGTTAAGTGCTCAGCCTTTGATGTGGAAATGATTTTTGATTCTAATGCAAATAAAAATCATTTGTACACAGAAGCCAAGTTGTCATAACTTGTTGCTACTTCGACATGATCTTCACCGTAAATCTTTTCCTAATCATTACTGAGTGCTTTTTCGAAAAATTCTTTCGCCTGATTGTATTCTCCCAGGCTGTAGTACGCTGATGCTAAGTCGTTATAACTTCTTGCTACATGGGCATTATGTTCACCGAAAACTCAGTTTTTCCAAATTATCAGTGCTTTTCTTGGTTTTCACATGACGTCACCAAAATTCAAACTAAGAAAACTATCGCTTCTTCTGAGTTTCTACTTTGATGTGGTATTACAGCACCTTAAAAGCTTTATACAAACAAATTTTCGGTTCAAAAGGGTTCTTCGTTTTTGCGATACAGGACTCTTGAATTTCCAGGCTTTTGCGTTACGCGGCATTTAGCTGACTGTCAGGAAAGCTGGGTTAAAACCATTACCGATTTTGGGAGATTTTGCTATCTACATATTCCTTGTCTCAGAATAAATATTTCCTTAATCTTCATGAGTTCCTCAAGCGAAGAATTCACGCATACTAGGAAAACTCAAAAACAATTTCTGAAAGGGAAACAAACATGGCGTCTCCATACAAAGCTTAGTTTATAAATCTGGGTAAAACGTTTTTCTGAATATCTCGCACATGAAATGTTGCACAGACCTGATTCTTGGCAAGGCTTTTTGTATATTTATCTTCTTTAATTTCCCAGATTCTAGACTTTCTGTGTTATTTTTAATGACGTTACAGTGTACACTGATGTCAAGTTGTTGATAACTTGATACCTTATCAGTCGGCATGATCCTCACCAAAAATCTTCTTTCTAATCATTAGTGCTTTTTCCGTAAGTTCTTTGGCTTGATTGTATTCTCCTAGGTTGCGGTACACTGTCGCCAGGTTGAAATAACTTGATGCTGTATGGGTATGATCTTCACCGAAAATCTTTTTGTTAATCATCAGCGCTTTTTCATGAAGTTCTTTGGCTTTATTGTACTCTTTCATATCGCAGTACAGTGTTGCCAAGTTGTTATAACTTGATGCTATATTGGCATGATTTTCACCGAAAAACTTTTTGTTAATCACCAGCGCTTTTTTGTAAAGTTCTTTGGCTTGACTGTATTCTCCCAGGCTGCCATACACTAATGCCAAGTTGTTGTAACTTGCTGCTATATTGTCATGATTTTCACCGAAAATCTTTTTGGTAATCATAAGCACTTTTTCGTAAAGTTCTTTGGCTTGATTGTATTCTCCCAGGCTGCCATACACTAATGCCAAGTTGTTATAACTTGATGCTATATCGGCATGATCTTCATCGAAAATTTTCTTTGTAATCATTAGTGCTTTTTCGTAAAGTTCTTTGGCTTTGTTGTATTCTTGCAAGTCGAAGTACACTGTTGCCAAGTTGTTATAACTTGATGCTATATCGACATGATCTTCATCGAAAATTTTCTTTCTAATCATTAGTGCTTTTTCGTAAAGTTCTTTGGCTTGATTGTATTTTCCCAGGCTGTGGTACACTGTTGCCAAGTTGTTATAACCAGTTGCTACATCGACATGATCTTCATCGAAAGTTTTCTTTGTAATCACTAGTGCTTTTTCGTAAAGTTCTTTGGCTTGATTGTATTTTCCCAGGCTGTGGTACACTGTTGCCAAGTTGTTATAACCAGTTGCTACATCGACATGATCTTCACCGTTAATCTTCTTCCAAATCACCAGTGCTTTTTCGTGAAGTTCTTTGGCTTGATTGTATTCTCCCAGGCTGCTGTACACTGATGCCAAGTTGTTATAACTTGATGCTATATCGGCATGATCTTCATCGAAAATTTTCTTTCTAATCACTAGTGCTTTTTCGTGAAGTTCTTTGGCTTGATTGTATTCTCCCAGACTGCTGTACACTGTTGCCAAGTTGTTATAACTTGTTGCTACATCGGTATGATCTTCATCGAAAATCTTTTTCCGAATCATTAGCGCCTTTTTGTGAAATCCTTCCGCTTGACTATATTTTCCAATCCTTGAGTACACTTGGCCACTGGTACTTAAAATATCCCCTTTTAAAAAGGCACCTGGGTCAGTATCTTCTATGTCCTCTAGCAAGTCGCATCCTAAATCGACCACAGTTTTAGCAAACAACAAATCACAAAAATGGCAACAGATTGAAGCAAGAGACCTCAACCAATCGGCAACCATATTCAAATCTACAAAAGGCGTCGACGTTCTCAAAAAAGTTCTCAGCTGATCAGAACTGCGATTTAGTGTCATGTGCTTAAGTAAAGATTCACAGTGGGGCCTCAAGGTCTTAAAAATCGCATAATCCTCATTATTTTCTTCAAACAGGGATTTGAAAATCTTTCCTGCTTCGGCCAAGCCGCAATTAATCTGCTCTGATGTTAGCTTGAGGACTTCGCCTCGAATCAAAGCTTCATAAACAATTTTATGCAAGCGAATACATCCACGTTCATTTCCTTTCTCGGAATGAACAAGAAGTAAAGAAGACCTAACAATCTTTGCCTTGATCAACTCCTCCGGCTGGTCTTTTGTTTGCGCTTTGACGAACTTTGAAACAGCTTCGAGTGGGAGATCGTCGTGAGCGCACAGCGAAAGAAAGGAGAATGTGTGACCAAGAACTTTATCAGTGTCTACAGTTCTTTCGATGGCCATTTCTACGGCAGCCATTGTTGTTGTCGCGTAGGCTAAACTCACATTCGCAAGGACAGTTTCAACCTCTCTTCGTTGACTGTATGTTGATATGTCGCGGAGGTATGCCTTCCATTCATAATTTGAAGACCCACTGCTAATAACTGTTTGCACGTAGAAAGCAGCAGCAGCTAAGGCCAGGGGCTGAAAATCGAGAAAATCGGCGACATTTTCTGCTTGCTCTCGGTCTGAAATTTGTGAAACTTTTTCCAATAATTCTACTGCTTCGTCCAGCCTCATTCCTTTACTTAATGATTCATGATATGTATGAGGAGCGTTATGAGGAATTGTAGTGCTATCTTGAGTAGTAATCAGCACTTGACCATTTCCCCATTCTTTACTACCGGTTTGAGGTAGTAAGGCGTTAACTGAACGCAACTCGACCACATTATCTGCTACAATCATCCATTTGGTAAACTTAGTAACCTTGGGCAAAATCAAACGATGGAGCTGTTGAACTGCTTCAATAGGCTTCTCTATTTTTAAAGATTCTAACCCTGACAAGGCGTATTCTGTTATCCTTAGGTGTCTTCCAAGAGTCATGTAAGAAGCAGCAAGCGTTTCGATGCTTTCTGCGTTCAGCGTCGCAACAAAAATCAGATTTTCAACGTCACCCGTTCGTTCAGAAAAAAACTGTTGTCCGATTTCCCGTGCAATTTGACTCTTACCACATCCTGGATTTCCTGACAAATACACAGTACTAACTCCTCCATTGGCACCACTGGAAAGTTCTTTCATTTTCTTTGTAATTCTTCCAATGTCATGAGAACGCCTGATGATATCGTGTGGTGGTGTCGACGCGAGAAAGCAAAAAGGTTGAAGTTTCGCACTCATTTCTTGCGTGAGAGCCTTGTTTTCTTGTTTTGCAAAAACCAAATCAGCTTCTGTACTCTGAAGTGCACTTTTTGTTTCCTCCAGGTCACATTTTGTCTGATCTAACTCATCTTGGAGATCACGAACTTGTCTCTTAAAAGTTTCCACTTCTTTCGTTGGAAAGGTCTTCTGATTCTTTATTTCTTGGATCTCAGTTATTGCAAGACCAAGAGATGTAAAAGCGTTCAACAGTCTAACTACAGAAGTTTGGAGATCGGCATCTGTCAGCTTAGCTTCCGTGATATGTGCGATCTCGTTTCGCACCTGACGAATATCATCGACCTCGTTCCGGACAGCTGGACTTAAGGTGGTACCAACGCTGTCTGAGTACAGGATGGCAAAAAACAAACAGGAAGAGTCCCACTCTGCCGTGTTTCCACTCTGTATTGTCGTTAGGTACCGGGCGTATTTCTTGCGACTTTTCTTAGATTCGTTATTATAAAAATCACGACCATTCTGTGCTGTATCTTTCCATTCTCCAAATGAGGTTGCCTTATAAAGAAAATCCCATTCTTTTTTAAAGATTTGCCGCAGTCCTACTGGAACCAAATCGAATCCTACGTAGCAGAGTCTGAAGTAGTTCAGTTGCTCCTGCGAGTATTCCATGACCAATTTCTGATCCTGTAAGAGATACCACATTTAAGCTTCCTTTCATATGAAAGTTTGTGGAAAAAAGCTTGTTTAATTATGCTGAAATCTTGAGAGTTATCGCTGATTAGCATACAAAAGTAGGGGTGTGCCGCTGGGACCTTGGCACCCCTAGCCTATACCAAAGCTACAATCATTTGTCAAAAGTGTCGGGAAGTGAAGTGTTGGCCCCTGGCCCAATGCTGAGCAAAACGTTAATGTTTGTGCGCGTACTTGTTCTTTTATATCCCAACATTGAATAGGGGGGGACGGGGGGATATTTAGCAAAAGAGAAAACTCTCTTTTTGGAGGATTAAAATGGAGTACTGTTAGGTTGTACAACCTTCCCAACTACTTTTGTCTGTGATTGTAGTTCAGCTGAAATTTGCTACCCTATTCTAGACCTAAATTCCCCAAATCCCCCCCCCCCCCCCTCAATTCTAGAGTAGCTTTTAGGCTGAGTTGCGTAAATTTAAACATGCCGATTTGATTTTTTTTATATTTTTGAGTGGAATTTCCGGGTTTCACTAAAATCTTCAACCAATTGATCAGTTTCTTGGAAAATGATACCCTATTCTAGACTTAAACTCTTTGATTTATACACCCTATCCCAGAGTTAACAGCTTGAAAACAAACCATACCCTTCACATTGGCACATACCTATATGGCCCATATATGGAACCACCCCCCCCCCCCGGGAGTAGAACCTCCTTGGTACGGGCACTAAAGGATAAGAGCAAAGATTCCGCATTTCCACGGATGTATCCGAAATATGGAAGTATGAATTTCATGAAGTTTGGCATTTTTTGGGACTAAGAAAGTAAAGATTGGTGGAGGCTTGAGAGGTCAGTTAAGGAGCGATGTGAGTGATTATTTCTCTGTGAACCAAGTCTAACAAGAACGCTCTCACAGCGGCGTTCAGTCTAGCTTGCTTGGAGATTCGATCAAGAAACAGGGAGGCGATTAATTCTACACGAAACAGGATTTACTCGCTAAAGGTTTTTTACTTCCTACTTTAACGTCGTCGATACTTTATATTTGTTTCTGAATTGATTTAGTACATGTGTTAGCGACGACCGGAAATACGTCTTTGGTCGCAGGCTACGCGCGTGTATAAATGCACGAAAATTCAAGGGCCTCGATTCCAGAGAAATTACATCATTGGCAGAGATTAAAAAGGTGATTTACATGGCACGTAATTTCAATCATCGCCGAAAATAAATCGCGTGCTCATCACAAGACCCATTTGCGTTCAATGAAAGTTTACAACACCCCACCATCGCAGTTTTGCTAATTAAGATTCTTATTCTTTTTCGACCACTCAGTACTGTTCACTTGTTCCAAAGTAATCAACGCTTTGAAGAGATGGAATTAGTGGACCGACACGTCTGAAAAGTTCTAACTTTAATCTTTCCTAAGCTTTCTTCGCAAAACATGCGTGGCTTCGATCACGCAACGATTCTTATTCCCAGTTTCCACGGTCTCCGCAAGGAACGCCTGGCACAATGACCCCCTTTTGTGTCCTAAATACGACGAAAAACGCGTTGCAGATTAGGAGTCTCGCTGCTTACGCAATCGAGACTAATAAGAGACACGAAGGGGGAGAGAGAGGTAAAGACGTGAGTATTTTTTATGCTCGTCCAGGTCAGAAATAAGACCGCGAGTGGGCTTTAAATACGATTGCCAGGAGGATTTGAGTGTAGTAATGTACGACACCATGGACACTCTGAGGCAATTGTCATAGGATTTTGAACATCACTACTTTATGTTTTTGTTTTTTCTACTTTTGATCTGTTTTCAAAAGGTTTCGTCAAATAAAGAATTTGGTATTTAAGATTTTCCAAGAATTGACTGAAAAAACAAGCAAACAAACAAAAAACAAAAATGTTAGATTGATTGTTACAGCTGACAGTTTTAGATGAGACAAGACCACCATTCGGCGGGGGTTCATTGGGCTGCCGACTGCGTGATGCAGTGCTTTATTATTTTGGGAAGTATACATTATAACTACGCTTTTTGCCGGCTTGAGTGCATAGCTACTGCTAAACTGTGAAATGGGAAAGAGATAGCCTTTTGAAGTAAGAAACTATTGGCATCATTTTTAATTTGGACATTTTCACCCATCACCTCCTTACCCCATCTCTCCGCCACCAAAACCATAGCATGTCGGTACTAACGGAGCCTTCTGGGAGTTCCGCCACCATTTTGTTTTTTTTCGACATAGATGAAGAAAGGTATTTCTTGATTGGGCGTTGCCCTCACAGGCAGCAACCTAAAACTCTGGAGACGACCAAAGTTTCCCAAAGACATCTGTTACGAAAATCAGTTGAAAACTCTAACTCCGCGTATATTTAAATCGTATGTTTATTCCATCCAAGTATTCCATATTTGAAAAAGATTGGCGTCCAAGTATATGCACGATGAATTAGATCCCGATCGAGCTTCCAAAATTCACGACGAGTTTAACATCACGTCACAAATTCAAACATGTTACCTTATTATAGGAAATTAACGCTTCATGAAATAAGGGTATTGGAAATTAACGCGACTTAAATTAACGAGAATTTAAGGGCAAACGACTTTCGAATAAAGAAAATTAACGCGAAAGAGGAGGTAGAATTTCATAATAAAGGAAATTAACGCGATTTTTTCTTGGCCGAAATCGAAGGAGAAGATATTAACATCACTTCTGACAGCGACAACGATGAAGATGAACTCGAAATATTGTAAACCTTCGCCTTAGCTTTTGTGAAAGATGAAAAATAAAGGGTAAATGGAAAGAAAGAAAGCTTGTAGTTAATGTTTTTTAGGCGTCAAGAATGTCTGGACAGGTTCCAAAATTGGGGTTAAAATACTGGAAATTAAGACCGTGGAAATTAACGCTGCTCCTAATTAACGTCGCGGAAATTAACGCTCAACAAAATTAACGCGAATTTTAACGATTCGCGTTAATTTCATGGAGCGTTAATTTCCTATAATAAGGTAAATGCACAACAAGTTATGTTTTCTAAACAAGCAAACGATAAATTTACGATGGCTACAATGCCCAAACGGTCAAGAAAAGTCAAGATGGTTCCCAAAACAGACAAGCAAACAAACAAACAAAAACTCAACATATTATCATATCAGGTTACAAAAGCACTTGGTATATATGTAGGTCCGCAATATGTACGCATCCAGTAGCAACAACATCCGAAAAGATAAATAGCTTTTAGGGCAGCCAAAATTAACCAAATCATACTTAACAGGCTTCCAAAGTATAGAGAAAACCACATGAAACACCTCTGACGTATTTGGAAACATTCTGTTGTTGAGTGACCCTGTTTATTGGTCTCATGTAAGGTCATCCAATACATTATTGGATTCTTGATTCCAAGCTGTGGAGTCCAGATTCCAGGTACTGGATAAATTATATTTTCGGATTCCTTGTCAGTGGATTCGGAATCCGGATTCCAAAGCCCAGTATTCCGGATTCCACAAGGAAAAATTTTACGGATCCCAGGGCTCTGTTTATGTTATCGTCAGGAAACGCAGGAAGTCTCACTAAAACCACCCGCTCAATTTCTCGAGAAAATTAGTTTTGCCTGATAAATACGCCAAAATAATTCCTCCGAATACGCTTTCTCTACAGTTTAAGGATAGATGTCTTATGTTTTCTTTTCATTTTTTTGGGATCTTTAAGTTTTCAGTTTTTCGATACGACCTCCCCGAAGTTTGCTAATTTGCAAGATTTTTCGATGACCGTCATTTTGAAAGTGTGAGAAAGTACCGTACAAAAATCGTATTACTTTTGGATAAAATGAGTCTAAAATTATAGGTGCAAGTGAGATTTAGCTTGGTAATACACAAATGTCGCTGTCTCTTTGTTATTTTTAAAGTTAACGGCAATTTGGCAATGGTTTATAGGACTGTGACCCCACGCATGATATCGTGACATTGATTTCCTACACGTCACGCACCGACCTTTGACACCGTCATTAGACTTAATGTTAACGTCGAATAATGGGTGAGCGAGGTAGCTTTATATTCCGTTTCCTTTGGGTGTAACAACGTGAGGAATTTTCACGAAATCTTTATTTTGACTGCGCGAAGTCATTATGCAAATACAGAACACCTGTGTAGATAGCATATCCCGACTTCACGACTGTCAGTCAACACGGGATTGCAAAAACAGAAACAATAAAAGTTCTGTCAGAGGATGCCTTCAAAACTGAGAAGAGTTAGACTTTGGACTGGCATAAAGTCGCTTAAAATGGGGATTGGGATTGAGACTGGCATCAATAAGATGCATAAAAAAAATTCGCTGTGGCCATATGGCCGGTAACCGGTCAAGGTTTTCAAAACACTAAATGGCCGGCAGTCCCATATTCTCAGTAAGTTTCACAAAATCGAAAGATTCTAGCTAATCTAAACTATCACATGTCGATTAAGACAAGTCAAGCGATCCTGAAATGCTTTATAGATCGCAACTCTCGTTTTTGGTCTACGCTGGGCTCAGTAGACGAAACCGCGTCTTGTGACACTTAAACTTTTTTCAGCTCGACTGCCGGTCAAGGTTTTCAAAACACTAAATGGCCGGCAGTCCCTTATTCTCAGTAAATTTCACAAACTGAAAAAATTCAGCCGTTCTGAACTATCATAAGTCATGATCCTGATCAAACCAGCCGGTTTTGTGGGATTTCTACATCCTGCCTTTGTTGGTCTCGAGTCTTTGGATGTTCGTTACTATTTTCTGTCCAAAGCACGGCGTGACAGGCGACGTTTGACGTCATAACGGCCTCCGCGGAAAACCGGCGGGAAAAGTCCCTTAGTTGGGTCTGCTGCTTCTGGAAAACACTAGACTTCAGATCTATAAAGCATTTCAGGATCGCTTGACNCTGCCTTTGTCGGTCTCGAGTCTTTGGATGTTCGTTACTATTTTCTGTCCAAAGCATGGCGTGACAGGCGACGTTTGACGTCATAACGGCCTCCGCGGAAAA